GGAGTTGGGGCTGAGATGAAGAGGGATCTGGTTTTATGTGAAAGGCCACGTAGCTGAAATTCAGCTAGGAGGCTTGCCATCAATACAAGTAACACTGCATAGATAACAAAGAAATACACGGCTTGGAAATGAGAAAAGGACCCAATAAATCTCCTGCTGAGAAAGGTAGATAAGCAGCTGTCAGAGGAGATATAGAATGAGCTGGCATTTTTAGCTTCTTTCCAGCTGTATAAGATGCTTACATACCAAGTATGGTTGCTAAGAACATGTACCCAAGCTGGCGGTTTCATGAAGAAACAAGGCTGTGGTACAAAAAGAAGTAATTTCTGGATTACACAAGGTCTCTAAACACTACCATTAATATGTATATTATGGAAGGACAGAATGGGAAATTTTTCATTCCACTACAAGATATATGGAGAGCTTAATTTCCTTTGCTAGTTTTCAGAACATGTGAATGCTCTAAACAGCAAGAAGGAAATATTTTCTAATGGGTAAGAGCTTAATCTAATCTCAACTGAAGTCAATCAGAATGCCTCCCTCTAGTTTGTATGGCTTCTGAATCAGGCTCTAAATATCCCAGCCTTTCACTTCGTCTTAGATTATCACTTTTATAGCATAAGTATGGCAGCCTCTATCATGTGCACAGTGCTATATAAAAACACAGAAAAATAGTTTATCAATCACTTCAGAACTGAAGTATTTAACAAGTTACCTGTGCAAAGATGACTGAGATTAGGATAGTATGTGCATTGCAAACTTCATGATAAAAAATATTGTGAGGCTATTATTTGCTAAGAAAATACTACTAATTTCATATAGCATCATCGTCTACTAAAATTCTTCATAAAACTTATTTGATTGGCCTGATCTTTCACCTAGACAAACTGCACTGGTGTGGGGGTGTCAGAGCAGGAGAGAGACCTGGCTACAGACAGGTTTTGTCTTTCTCTCACATTGTCTTGTTGGTCTTGCAAGAAACTATTTGAAAACTGTAGTCTCAGTTTCCCTGTCCCCCATGCACTTGATCAGCCACATGAGAGCAGTCACCAGACTCTTCCCAGGCTACTGTGAAAAAAGCCACCAGAGAGAGCTGAAGGGTGTACTAATTACCAGGGTGTTCATTACATGATCATGAGGTGCAATTTGGATAATGCTTTGCTTTAACTTAATACCCCAATGGCCAGAGCTGATGGTAGCAAATAATTCTTAGGCTTTATCTAAGGCAGAATTAGCCATTCTGCACTGACTTAACACATATCTTTTTGCAGCAAGAACCATATTGAACATAACCTTTTCAAAAAATGGACATGAGATCTTTACATTGCATGTGGAGCCAAGGTGCAGGGAGAACGTAGAAGAGTTTGGGAGGTATCCCTTATTTATAACATCTGTACCTCTGTAATGTCCCTTAAAGGGCAAACTTCCTAAAGAAACAGCACAGGGAGGAATGACAGGAGGGGATGGACAGACAGACACTAGAAAAGTACCTGTAGTTTGACTCATGAATAAAGAGTGGTGAGGCAGCTAGGATAGCTGTTATGCTCTGACTGGACAATTCCTAAGAATTGAGCTTTGATTATAAGCAAAACCATATAACTGGTGGTTAAAAGGAAAGAATGGGTGAGGAAATTTGCACCTAATAATATAGGTCTGATAAAATTCTGCCCATGAATGAGGCCAAGGATTCTGTTGTCTGGGAATTTGTAAGGACAAGCAACTGTACTTGTTGCTTGGCTGTAGATACAATGCAGGAGAAAGCAGGAAGGAGCAGAGATCATGTCTCCATTTTTTTACTTTGCACTTTGTGCTTTGATGAAAATTTGAGGTCTGAGGTTTATGTGGCATTTACTAGATAAAATGTGTAGAACAATTACAGGCTGTACAGGAACATGCAGTAATGTATCTGTTCTTAAACTGTAGGGTTGGACTGAACAATCTGCATACAGTTGCTTCTGACAGTCTGCAATTCATTACTTCTGACTTAAAATATTTTTATCTGCCTCAACTGTTTCTTGTATCTCTGCATACAAGAGGAAGACTGGGAGACCACAACCTCATCAGTACTAACAAAGCTTCCTTCTACCCTGCTTTGCAATTATATTTGCTTGTATTCTTGATGTTCAGAGATTCACATAACACAGATTTCTTCAAAACAAATACTTTAAATAGGATGCTCTCAAGGCTGCTTGGTAAAAGTTTGACCTATTTTTCCTCTTTAACTGTTTATGTAATGCATTTAATTATCTGTATTTTCTCCCATGTTCAAATAGGCAATTAAGTAGGGTTTTGAGGGCTAACACATGTGAGCACCCAGACATAAACAGGTCTACCCCAAACATAATAGACAAGAAAATCTATCAGTAAGTCAACAGGTTTTCATATAATGTTTTCTGTGAGGAAATGAATCTTTTCAGTGAGGTCTTTGTCCAGGTGTAATTCACCTTTAACTCATGGAAGGTACTAAATCTCTTTCAGCACTGGGACTTGGTCATGAATTACCTTTCCATGGTAGCTGTGTTCTAGGAGTAGCCACTCCTGAACTTAGGAAATAGTCTTGCCTTCATGCAGCAGCTCTGGGATCTGTGAACACTGAGGAACCACTGCTATTTTCCTTTGGAAAAACAATTCAGGCAGTCCTTCTCCTCTTCAAGGCCAGTTTTAAGGGGCTTTCCCTGCAGAAGCAACTGTTTGTCCCACAACTTTCATCCTGCACCACACGAACTTCTCTCAGAAACACAGACCTGATTAACTCACTCTGGCACAAGCTGTCACTAAACAAACTGATCCATGCTTGCTGGGACGAAATACAGGACAATTGGGCTTTCAATACAAAGAAATACTGCTATGAGCCATCCAATATGGACTTTATTGCATAGGCTCAGCCTAACATTGATTTAGGATATAGAGACATTCCTCATTGCTGCATGTTATAGTAACGTGGCCAGTAGCACTGAAAAAAAAAGTTCATGTAATTGGAAAAATCTAGTTACTGATGTATTTGAAGTTCTTATACAAATCACAATTACCAGAAGGGTAACAGATGCTTTTGTCTCAATTGGGAAAAAAAAAATTCTATCAATATGTTGCGTTTTTATTAAGAACTACCAGCTTCCACATCTTGTCTTTGTAACTTTATAACTTTATAACTCCTTGTTAGGGAAAACCAATAGTAAGAAACTGAAATATATTATATTTTCCAGTAATAAGCATAGTGAAAGTATTTATCCTAAAGAAGAATTTAGGATAGAATGCATAAATATTTAATAATAACACATTAAGTTAACAGCAGATGTCAGATAGGATGGATGTGATAACTAAGCACTGTAAATAGTCTCTTCCACTCAAATCCAATATGCTAACCTTGATTCTTGTCACATTTTATTACACTTCACTCATTAATTTTATTCACATACACAGGGAAGGTAGTGACTGTCCTCCTACAGGAACATGACAACACATGGCACACAGAACACATCACTGCCTCCTGTAGATTTTATCAGTGCTAGCTTTGCTCCACAGAAGGACAACACAAAGTGAGTAATACAGTTTTCTGTATTACTGGCAGAAATTTATCCTGCCAGTAATAAAGGATTAATTAGGATAAATTCTGCAATGTAAAAGCCAGTAGCAGTCCACAAAACCTCACACTACAAAACCATTTCTATGTGCCATTATCGTATTTCATGAAAAAATGTGGGATCAACAATAACGACCATGAACAGTTACATAGATTTTACTTATATGAAATAAGCCAGTGCACCTGAGAGTGACCTTGATTTCATACATAATCCTGAAACAGAATATAGTAAATAAATTATGTTATAGGAAGCTTAACAGCTTCTTTGTGAAATTTCCATTGGGAAGCAGCTGTTCAGTTGATTGGTCACCTTAAAGAAAAGCCTAAATGAAAGAATTATACATTAACATCCTCAAGCAGTAGTTGTCTGTAACTGGAAATGCTAATATATGATTAACTTCCCTGAGTTCAAAGGCAAGGTAATTTAAAACAACATAAAATGTAAATTTTCAAACTCAGATGAAAAACGTAACAAAGAGAAAGGTTACAGTCAGTACTCATACAACAGAACTTTTGGTAAACATAGTATGCAGAAAAATTCTCACCATATAAAATAAGTCACTAACTCTCAGGATAAAAAAATGATTTTACAATTTCATCTCACTTCCCATCTGCAGACATCCATAATTCCTTCATGTGCAACATGTTCCTGGTGTGTCTGCTTCTGCACCATATTTATTGTGCACAGTTTTTTTTCAAAATTTTGAAGTAAGGGATAATGAGGTTGCATTTTCAAAACACTGCAACCGCTGGTTTGGTTTTGCAGATGACACATCCATGCATGTAATCAGCACATGCAGTCACACTTGCATTTCAAATCTCAATTGCTTCTCATTATAAAAATTTATTGTGCCCATAAAAAGCTAAAAAGCCTAACCAATGTCCCCCCCCACCCTTGACTACCAAAAATACAAATATGTAATACTGGAGCAACTGATTGGCCATGTAAGAATTTTGAGAATGAGCAACATAACTCAGGCATCATTTCAGCCACATATGCAGCTCTGCACAATTTGAGACTGGTTAGAATATGAGTATTCCATTCTGACTCTGTTCCATTCCAACACATTCTGTCTGAGGAAAAATTAACTGTTCAGTGCCTCTGCATATGCAGCATCTGCTCCTTAAAAACCCAGTTAATTATGTTTGAAAAAAACCCCAAAAAAACAAACCCAGGATCAGAAAACCTTTCTATTTTATATCCAGTTGTATTACAATATTGAAATCATGTTTTAATCTTTCTGTCACAAAAGCATTATGCAAGTGTGATGTTCAATATTCTCATCCAATCAGAAGAATCATGGGGTAAATAAAAACCAAGAAAAGAGGAAACCCCGCAGCACACAATACACAGAACACCAAAACACTCCCCTCCCTTCAACAAGAGCAAGTACAAAATAGAGCAGATTTCAACACTCACGGCTATCGTAGCATATATTGCCCAGGGCACGTCCTGTTTGGAGCAAAACTTCCTGGTCTTTGCAGTTTAACAGCTGCACCAAGGGAGGGATCAGCCCAGCATCCACACAGGGGTTCCGCATGAATTCTGCAAATAAAGCAAAGCCTCTTAATGCCAGGCCAGCTATTCCCAATCCCATCAATTCCAGCGACACTGGCCTGGCAACTGGGCCTTTTGTGTGCCTTAAACACGTGCACAGACAAACAGTGTAAATTGTCATGTAAGTTTCTAGAAAATAAGCCCAAATCAGTATTTGGGCTTAATTCTTTCCATTATTTGCTAATTTAGAAGGAACTAAGGGCATTAATTGACTTCCATGGAAACTAATTTAACATAGATCAGACTAAGCATATTTTTAGCATCACAAAGAAGGGCTGCAAAGAACAGTGAATTCACAACAAATTCAACATAAAATAGAATTTCTAAATAACACAAAAGATGACTTAAAACTAGTATTCTAGAGCAGCATTTTTTACTCTCTATTGCCTTAATTAGAATTCCAGAAAAGCTTTTGCTTCAAGAGATTAAAAAAAAAAGCTCAGTAACAGGCTTTTATTTCGAAGGTGAAGAAAAGAACAGAGAAGAGAATGAGAAATACAAGAGTTTATGTGAGCCCAAAAGCCTGTAGCTTTCCACAATCTAACTGATACCCACCATCGGAGGAAAGGTAGAGGACCCATCCACTGGGAAGCTCTCTGCCCTTCCTTCCTGCTTTATCACAGAGAAGCAAAGAATTATTTTACATCTGTGCAAGTCATAGAGAACTATCCTGGTGTCAGAGACATAAAGGGCTGTTGTGCAGGATACAGCCAGGCAGGGACTGTGCTGCACATTTTAAAAAGGTGGTTTATAGAAGGAACCACCTGATAACACCAGTGTTATTTCACAGTTTACTGAAGAGCACCCTTTAGAGATGTATTGTAAGGCAAATGGTCAATATATTTTTGATTTGTTCTGAGCTGCAAATTATCAGAATCACAGAGTGGGTAAGATTGGAAGGGACTGCAATGGCTCATCTGGTCTAACCTTCCGGCTTAAGCAGGGTCATTCCAGACCACAGGGCATAGGATGGCATCCAGATGGTTCTTGGATATCTGCAGCGAAAGAGACTCCACAACCCCTCTGGGCAATCTGTTGCAGTGCTTGGTCACTCATATAATAACTAAGTTCTTCCTCATACGTTGGTAAGGTCCCCTCTCTGTCATCTCTTCTCAAGGCTGAACAGACCCAGCTCCCTGAGCCTTTCCTTGCAACAGATGCTCCAGTTTCCTCTCGCCCTTGTAGCCTCTGCTTGACCTGCTCCAGGAGCTCCACGACTCTCTTGCACAGAGGAGCCCAAAACAGGACACTAATCAGGATCCAGCCTCACCAGGGTGAGTAGAGGGGCAAGATATATCTCTTCCTGATCCTAAACAGTATTGGATCTTTCAGAATCAGTTAACCTTTGTGTTACTTAATCACTTATGAGACAGAATGGACCAGGGTGTACAATCCCCCTAAAAGCAGATGAGAAAATTTTTCTGATTCTGATTCAACAGAATTCCTCACGCCAATAACTCAAAAATTTCATACAATGCTTGAAGTACAAATAGATCTTCTCAAATACTCTGTTTGTTGCACCTATTACAATGTTCTTTGATGTTTTGGTAGCTACAAAATCTACTCTCTTTTGTATTTAATCCTGCAGTGTTATTTTAGCTAAAGAATTGTCAGAGGTAAGCAATGATCATGTGATGATATGACTCTGATACATCAACACACAGTTAAGAAGAATCAGCAATACCTGTACACTTGCACAGGTCCAAGAAAAGATAGATGTGAGCACAATTAGCCCACCTTCTCAAGGTACTGTAACATTTTAGAATTGTGGCTAGATGCTATAGTGTGATAGATGGTGGTAGTATCCATTGTAATGAACAAAACAAATATCAGATACAAATTTGGTCTTTATCATCAAAGTCAGGTGGATTTTTTTTTTCCTAGTCTGTATCAGGAAATGAAACCTGTTTTCTCCTAAAATACTGAGAGGTCTCAGTCTGTTCTGCTGTTTGTTTAGGTTCTTCCTCACATGCTGAAAAGGAGTAAGAAACCCCTCCTCCACCCTCCCTCCATTTGGAGTGAGTGGAAGCTTTTACAGCAACAAAATCATTGGTCAATCACTGAGCAAATTTGTATTTATCGAGGTCATGTAAGAGCAAGAAGTAAAAGAAATGGTGCCATATGTATCAAAATAGATTTGTGAAACAAATGTGGTAACTGCACCTACTTTTGCAGCTGATATTACACAGAAGTAATAGAAGAATGAGAAAGTAATTGAGAACAGAGTCTTTAAAAGCTTTCCACTAAACTGGGAGAGAAGTGAAGCAGATCCTTGGAAGAAAACAGCAAAGAATCACTTACGGAGTTAAGAGAAGAACCACTGAGAACAGAGTAACATAAACCAAAAGAAGGACAAGATTTTGAAACTGAACTGTAATTGTGTCATAGTATAACAGACTGTGAAGATGATGTTCTCTCATTCCTGCATCTGGCAAAGAAGACAAGACTAAAAACCTTGGAAGAGGGTTTAAAAGGTCTATGGTGGAGAGAGAAACTCCATGTAACAAGTTCATCTGAGCCTTCATGATGCTCACAGTTCAAAAGCAAATAGCTGTAGCTGGAGAGACATGAGTGACTAAAGGGAGTTTTGTATGTTTGGGTGTTTAAAATAGAAGAAACAAATATGAGCTCAAGCTGGGAGGAGGAAGAGTCATGTGAGCAGAGGAGGTGAAGCAGCAAGAGCATGAAGGGGTGAAAAGATGAAGCACGACAAAGCTGCCAAGGCAAGTAGAGAGATTTGATGTGATCAGATGGGTATGCATATGATCAGATGATGGGAATGTAAGAGGAAAACAAGAAGTGGGGAAGGAAAAGATGCTGTTGTATCTGTAACACCCAAACCCACAGTCTCTGCTCCAAGTTCTGGCAGTACTGCATGACATGAACACTCAGGAAATGGGTTTAATGCCTACTATCCATTAGAGAGAATGGATAGTAGGCATTAGAGAACACAAATTTCTCAAAGTGCCCTAAAGTTTGTTGAAAACAGGTACAATATAAGCATTAAACTCTTTGTTTTATGCAATAAAACAAAGAAAACAACAGAATTCAAATGAGGTATTCCCTCCTATCCTATTAAAGCAACTGTTTCAACGGAGTTAGAAACCAATGAGAAATACCCAGATGATCTCAGTCTTGAAACCACTGGGAGCTTAAATAATTTCTGAATACCTTCACTTTAATCTGGGCTGAGGTCCCAGTTACACCTGCTAATGACTCTAAGGAAAAGACAAAAGCTATTTTGTATGATGAACCAGGTAAAGTGCCAGCTTTTCTGAGAGTGTACATAATTCATCAGTTTAAAAGCTGTCAGGGAAAAGGACACATAAGAAACTATTCAGACATTTCATGTGTCATTTCAGATACTGGCTAAAATGCTTTGTAAGGGAATCTTTGCAGAAACAATACATAGTAATCAGTTTAGCTATTGTGAGCATTGATTTTATTCTTAACTTTTCCCTTCTTGGGTAGGAGCTAAAAGGACCAACTGTGAGGACATATGGTTGACAGTGTTGTTCTAAAAAGACTTATTATGAATTCACTAAGTACAGAAAAAACCCATGATATATTTACCTAAATCTCTATCATTCTGAAACATTTCTAAATTTAAATTTCTATGTATACATATTTTATTGCCTCTTTATCTAAATAATTTTAACATTTAAAAACTAAACATATCTCTTTTCTTTTCTCATTTGTGTTGTTTCTGAATAACCATATATAACTCTGTCTTAAAATTGGGTGGAGGTCACCATGGGGTATCACTAAGAAGCTGTAGTTTGTGATTCCTCAGAAAAGGTGGAAATGGAATGTGAAAGTAGTCAACAAAAATGTAGCCGTTTCCCTGAAGTGGCATCAACATGAGAGTTTACAAAGGGAGAGGGATGAGGCTTCCAGGACAGCAGTTAAGTAACATTCTACTTTTCTCTCTCTAGCCTGTGGTGAAAGAAAGTCCAAAATGGAATCTGTGCCTCTTCAGCTCTGACAGCAGCAAGTCCAGGAGTGAGAAAAGTCAGCCACAAATGACCTCTACCCTCATCACAGGTTCTGCCCTTAGTGTCTGTTTGCAGGTATGAGGCCGTTCTTCTGGGCTCAAGATACACAGGTATTGAGTGAGCTTTAAGACAATCCTGTCTGTAGAAAAATTTAAATAGTTTTTTGATTACCTCTGATGTTGTATTATATAGTGTATGTATATAATACATACCAAAATGGAGCTGATTCTTATTTGGGACTTAAGACATATATAACACATATAATGCTCTTTAGGCAGGACTAATTGGTTTCAATATGGTATCAAAGACTCATAAGGGTTATAATTTTAGGACAAATCTCAGACCAAAGAAATTATCTACTATCCTTTAACCACCTGTATAGATGCTGCTGCTATAACCCTATGCACAACTGGCTGTACACATTGTGCCTGTCTCTTTTTCTACATGCTTTGCATATAGAAATGCATTTCATCAGTGGTCAGCTATTTCTGTCCAATAAATTACATTACTGTCTCAAAAACTAAACAGAATGAAAGAGAAATTCCAGCAGCCAACTGCTGTTCTGATTGTATTAAAAAGTACAGAAAAAAATTAGACAAAACAAAAAGAGTGAAAGGGAGGGACATGAAAGGTGTCTAATCTATAAAATGAAAACATAAATGAAGTAAAACATACTGACAAGTGAGGTGAAAAACTGAAGATGTTCCAGCAGAAAAGTTCTTGTAGAAAACCTCACCATTTCTGGCTACTTCTGCTATGATGTTAGCTACTTTTGCTGTGCAGGAAGATTGTGGCGTCAACAGACTCGCGAACACCTGAAGAACTCCACTTTTCTGGATTTTTTCACTTGTCTCCACATCTGAAAAACACATCACACAAAAATGACTTGTACATCAAATTGCTTTGGGGAAGAACAGAAAGAAAAGCAGAAGGAAAGTCTTCTCAAAAGTTATTATGATAGCCATTATTTCCCATATAAGAAGCCAACTGTTAGTTCAGTTACCATACTTATTTTATCTGATGTACTCATAGAACTTAATACTTTGCCATTTCTAATCAATTGACATTTATAAGGTGACTGCTATGTAGTATATACAGATACATACTCATGCTTACATGGGGAAAATACTGGAGAGACTGTAAGAGTAAAGGTCATAAAATGACATGCAGCAGGTAAAGGTATTATGTAAAAGTCAAGGAATGACTCTTTGAAGAGATGAATTATTGGAAATGTTCAAGGAATGATGGGGAAAGTTCTCACAGTTTAGGGTACAGCTCAATGCAATGTAGGAATCAGAAACTGGAGAAGAGGGAGAGCTAAGATGATCCTGGTTTTAGACTCCTCTTACACTCATTAAAATATCTTCTATGTTACTCTGTTACTGAGTGGCTCCAGTATAGACTCAGTAGAAGGGAAAGGGAAAAACACTGATTTCCTGTAGTAGGTATCAAAGACCTGTAACAAAAGCTTTCCCCCTTCTGTATGTAGTAAGAGGAATTGTGCAGCTGCTCCCTAACAGGGGCCCACCTAATATTGCTGGCCAACAGCAATGCTCTGTAACAAACTGAAAAATAACTTTATTCAACTGCAGTTAAAGACAAGCTACTAGATGCTATGACATATTTTGCTAACGCTTTTAAAAATGGCCTATTTGAGTGTCACACATGGCCTATCAGTGTGACAGTACAACTAGATGGCAGCTATCATTTTAGAAAGCAGCATGACTTCTTAAGCTATTTATAAGGGAAGTTATTTGCATTCTTCAGAGTTTACAGATGCTCCAATTGATGACTTTTGCAAAGCAAAACAAATCCATCTAAATGCTGTTTGCAACCACTCTTTGGCTGTTCTTCACCTGTAAATTGATAATAACATACCACCCTCCCTCTTCTCTTCTTCTTTCCTTTCCCCACTCTCAGGACTGCAATTGAATTTGATTAGTGGCAGCCCCAGGACCACTCTGCTGCCTCTGAGACTGGGAGATATCCACTCAAGCTGCCCCTGAACAGAAGCCAGCACAAGCCTGGCAGAGGTGACTCCCATGGGTTTTGTGGCTTGCACAGAGTATGTACATGCTTCAGTGTTGAGAGATGGTTATGTCTACATGACAGAAAACAGACTGAAAACAGAGAACTTGTAGTCTGAACTGCAGTTATGCCTCCCATTTCTGTATATAATTCTAATTTGGGATGTTGGTGTTTGGCTAGGACCACTCAGCTACAGCATGTCAGTGATGACATCTGATACAAACAGATTAGGCATCAGTAAAGAGTAATCTCAGCATCTCGTGTAATGTAAGTGCTAATTATTATTAACCTGCTTGCAATCAGTTAACTGCAATTTTTGAAATACCCTGAAAAAAACCTCTCAGAAGATAAAATGTAAAGCAGCTTATGGCTTATCTGAAAGCTTTTATAAACTCTGACATGTAGCATATACTTAGTAGCAATATTTTCCAGTGGATATAGGCATGCAAAATGAAAGTCTAAATTTAGGAAAAATCATATCAGGACTAAAGACTAGTCCAGACATCTTAGATGTCTGTTAAGGAAGAGCTTCTCTCTCCCTTAAGTTCAAAACTTGAAGTACAGAATTCAAAATGCAAAATATGACTATATGTGAATGTGTATTAGTAGGCAGGAGACATTAATGCATTTTCTCCTGTCATGCTTCTGAGATATACAGTATCCAGTCCTATTTTCTTGGTCTGTAGTTTGATGGACTCATTACTGTGCAAAGAATAAATTACATGAGTAGAACTAAATATATCCTGCAAGAAGTGGGGAAATAAAATTAAATGCTTCTCCAGGCAAGTTGTGTGCAGCAGATACACCCTGATTTATTTTATTAAGAAAAGCAAGTGACCACCATAAAAGCACAGCCCTGACAGACCTCTCAGAAACCGGGAAATCAGTTACCTGGGATCATACAGATGAAAACTGACCAGTGAGTTATTCCTACTCTGAAGCAGTAGAAGAGGCACACCTACACATACTCACTCATCCCTTCAAATCAAAATCCTAATGTTTCTTGTTAGTCAGTTGGGTATCAATGTCAAACTTCTGCTAGTCATAAAAGAGGGAAGATGGATTAATTAGACCAGCAGTGAGTGCAGAACACCCCACCTCTACTCTACCCCGGGTGGGTGCTCAAGCATCATTATTTTGAGGAAAAGCACATTACTCTGGCATCAGGCAGAAGAATTACTACTATCAGCCCACAGTGCTCTCTGAGGCATTTTTGCCAGGAAATGCCTTAGGTGTAAAAAATGCCACAGGGTGCTTCAGCTTGTCTACTCCAAGTCTAAGTAAGCACTGCTCTTCCTCTGCAGAACACATGCAATTTACACTTGGTGTAATATACAAATTAATTCAGTTTCAAAATGGGGAGATGACAGTATGACACTAAATCTTTGCAAGTAGTTTATAGTAGATCCTCCATATAAGGCATCTGAAGAGAATGTGCCAGGAAAATTACTCTTCCATCCTACTGTACATTACTCTGTTTAGTATCTGCAAAAAAAAAAATCCATTTTTTTCCCAGGGATTTTGTGTTTATCATATTAAAGTTCTAATAAAGTAGTTGGGAAAAAAAAGATGTGCTATAATATACAAATTATTTTCGCAAGTCACATGTTATTAGCAGATATATTTTTGTTACAATCAACCAATCTTTCTGAGGTTTGAAATGCTTAAACAAGGAAGGGTATTTTAATTGGAACAAGACACCTTATTTATAAACCTAAAATTGCATTGTTAAATATAGCAACTTTGCTCAGTATTTTTTATATTCTTTTAAAGGAGGAAGACTTGACAGGCAAATAATGCACAGGGATGTCCTGTGAAGTCTAAACAAAGATCTTCAACCACCCTTTGCTTGTCTGCAGAGTCAACTGTACACTCAGTTCAGGTACCAAGTGTTAAAATGCATGTCTGTAGAAGAGAATACCAAGCTGGAGGCCTTGAAGATGATTTCAGCACAGCTGTAGGTGTATAAGCATTTCTTATAGTGCCCAAATGGGGCAATTGCTTCACTTACAAAACATGTGTGAACAGTCCTGTGTGTGACTCTCCTTTGTGCTCAGCTTCACGTAACACCTGTCCTGTATAAATATATAAAAGATACAGGGACACAGGAACAAAAATGAAGGGAAGTGTGTGTGGTGTTATTCTTTCGAGTGGACAATAGATTGTCACATTTATGTAGCAGTATTTTCACTATGATTGTAAAAACCATCACTTGTTTTTGATTCTGCAGAACCTGAGACTGGGAGACCACACATCAGTGCTGCCACAGGGCTGGTACCCCTACCACTGCCTGGCTCTAGGAGAAATAAGGTAGGTTTTGCTGAGAATTAGAAACTGCTGGAGACTTTAGCATAGGCAACCCTCAACTCTTGCCTTTATTTGTTCTCTTCAGAGGCTGGAGAAAGCCTCCCTGGCTTCCTGTCTCTCTGTATATGCACTAAAGAGGTATTATTTATTAAGGATATCAATCTTCTGCATGCTAGTTTCATTCTGGACTTCCTAGTAAATTATTAGAGGGTAAACTATTTTGAAAACTTATTTCAGCTGTCATCTTTTAAATTGCTATTTCAATTGTAGTTGGAGCATGTAAAAATTCTACAGGAGCAAGAAAGACCTAGGCAAATCTCTACCACATATTCTCCTCTTGTGTTTCTATACTGGCCAAAAAGGAAATCACAGCCAACATTCCTTTTTAGCAGATCTGCATCCCCTTTAAAATCCATTAAATTTATGTCTGGAAAAAACCAAGCAATGTAGATAGCCTGACATTAGGGTGCCACACTCATAATCCTTTTGCTATCTGTGATGTATCTGTGATTTCAAATGCTTTTTTTAAAGACTGATTTTCAGTCTGCTTACACCAGCCCACACCTAGAGCTGTCCCCTCTTGAAGCAAAGAAACTGTAGAACTGTAATAATGCTGCATTAAAAGCAGCCCTTTTGCACACAGTCTAACACAGCATAATTGGAGAGGAAAGCCCTCTAAGGTTAAGCCTGTTGCTTTAGATGCCTCCTTGTATTACTTGATACAAACGGTATGTCAGATCACGTGGTGTCAAAATGTTATTGATGTCACAGCTGAGTGAATAAAATGTCAACATGCTTGCTTTTGGTAAGTTTTTGCAGTGCCTGAAGTCAGAATAGTTAAGGGTGTGGGCAGGAAAATCTTTAATGCCACAGATCAGAGCTGGAGAGCTGAGCACCATGGCTATCAGACTGGTTAATTAAGTAGCAGAAATCATAGGAAAAAAAATCTAATATGTTTCAAATTAAAATTCTACACTCTTTTCCCTCTCAGCTCTCTTTCCTCTAAAATTTCACTTCTCTCTATTCACTCTTCTCTCCTCTCTGTATTATTTTGTACACCTTCAACTGAAATAAAAGGCAGAAAGGGGAAAGGCAAGGCATGTCGCTCAGCAGTGCCTTGCTAGCAGAAGAAAGCTGCAGGCTCACCATTCCTTACCCCCTATGAACAATGAGTCTAAGTTACACTGTTATTAGTAACCCTACAGTTGTGGTTAGCACTGCAATAATTCCCATGTTGTGGAGCTTCACACCACAGAATTATGAATAAACAGCTTTGTGAGGGTCCTCTTTAAGCAATCTGTGTTTGCCATGTAGTCTTTTGAAAAATGCATATCTTTCTAGCTGCAAAGATGTTTTATAAACCTACTGGAACTACTGCAAAAATTTACCTTGGCTTGATAATGTTCCTCCTACATTTACTCTCATCAGAAAGAGAAAGATGAACACATGAATAAATAATGATGAACCACATATATCATGAAAGGAACCTTCCATCTGCTCTTTCAGAAGGCAGAAGGGAAGAAA